GTCTGCAGGGTCCTGTTCATCCTTTCTGCCACACCCTGCTGTTGGTGAGCGTAAGGAAGAGAGATGAGGCGTTTGATGCCTCTTTCTGCCAAGAACTGTGTGAAGCTGTTTGACTGGTACTCCTTTGCGCCATCTGACTGAAAACTCTTCAGTTTCGCTCCTGACTCTCTTTCAGCAACAGGTAGCCAGGCTGTGAAGGCTTCTAGAGCCATGTCTCGTGACGGTAAGTTGACGTGCCAGACATATCGCGTTGCGGCGTCGATGAAGGTGATGACGTAGTTCAGATCTTCACGTCCTTCCGTTCGAGGTATGTATAGTATGTCGCTGTAGACTTTCTCGAGTGGTTGATAAGCGGGGGCGCTCGGATTGTGGTGTGACGGGAACGGTTGGTGAGGCAGATCTGCTTCCGGGCAGATGAAGCAGGTGCCGCGTGGTCGTTCGAGTTCTCGTCCGTTGGGAAGAAGTAGGGCGTTCTTATCTAACACTCCGGCTCGTATTGTATTGTAGAGTGTTGTGTTTCCAGGATGTCCAAGACGTTGATGCCATATGTCTTCGGAGGCGCTGTGACCTACGGAGCGTCGATAGAAGTCTGCGTTAGCGAAGAAGGCGGCGTGAGTTGCTGCACTTCGATGGACGGCGCGTGGTGCTGGCGTTAACTGTTGGGCGGCTGTCGGTGGCGTGTCGATGATGAGAGGTGGAGGTGCGACGGAGGGACCGAGCTGTAGAGTTTCGGTAGGTTGTTCCGCGACGACGGTTGGTTCTTCAATTGCAGGTTCGGAGGTTGTTGGTGTTGTGACGGGTGCAGTTGTTGTTTCGATGACGGGTGCTGACTCAGGTGTTGTGGCTTGTGTTTGCAGGACGGCAAGCGCGTTGGTGCGTTCAGCTTCGGGAATGGTACGAGAGTACCAGAAGCCTTCAGGACTGAAGTTCGGGTCGAGGTCTGGCGGATGCGTCCAAGGTGCGAGAGCGACTATACCGTCGCTGTCTGCGGTGCCTTTGTCGGGGACGAAGTCGAGGACGAACACGTCATCTTGTTGGATTGCACGGCCGATGAAGACCCCCCCTTTTCCGTGGTAAAGACGGATTTCCAGGGCGTCGGAGTCGCACTCCAGGTGAACGCCTTTCGACATGAGTTGGCTGACGCTCAGTAAGTTAAAGCCGAGGTTGTCGACGACGAGTACTTTGTTTAATTGAAGAATAACGTTTGTTTCGTTTGACTGAAGCTCCACGACTCCTTGTTTGTTGGTGCGCAGGTTTTCGTTGTTGGCGATGGTGATGATGACGTCTCGCGGAAGACGTCGTTCGCGCTGAAGAAATCGTGATGAAGAGCACATGTGATGACCGCAACAACTGTCGAGGAACCATGTGTCTGGTCCGGTGGGTGCACGGTTCGCGATGGCGGCGTACGTTGGATTCACGTTAAGGGACGATGGTGGTGGTGATGGTTGCTCATCAGGACTGTAAGTTGGTGGAGAGCCGGTAATGCACGAGTCGATGTTTGACTCTGTTGTTCGTGCCATGGCGACGATTCTTGGTGTCTGTGCAGGTCCCGAAGTGGAGGTTGACGGTCGTGTTGAAGTAGTCGTTGAGGCGGTAGCGGGTCGCTGTTGAGTTGACGCGATGTGGGGAGGCACTGGTCGCAGAGGACGAGAGAATGGTGCTGGTTGTCGTTGTTGCTGAGGGCAGTTGAAGCGTGTGTGTCCTGAAGTCCGACAAAGATGACAATAGGGAGGTACGTGTCCTCGATTTTGGTAGCGTGGCTGTCGTCGATTGGTGTAAAGAACGATTGGTTGATGATGCCTTTTGTTGTTGCGTTCTTCGAACAGGTCCATTTCCTGCTGCTCGGCGTGAAGTTCGGCGCAGAGATGCATTTCGGAGAGTCGACCGTGAGCGCGAAGAAGTGAGCGGGTGGTGCGCCACTGAGGTCCAAGGCCGGCAAGAACGACGGTTACGAAAGCTTCTTCAGATAAGTTTCCTCCGCAGCGAATGAGTCTGTCGCGTAGTCCTTGACAGCGACTGATGTAAGGCATGGCCTTTTCTCCAGGTTGCATTTGAACTGTTGTTAGTTGTGCCATGAGTCGGCTTTGCGTAACGCTGTCGGATGCTTGATGAATACTTCGCAGATGTTGATAAGCGAGTTCCGCGGAGTTTGCGTAGTTCCGGTAGGCGCGGATGCTTTGTTGTTCATTCGGCGACAGGTTTCGGAGAAGAACGGTGTAAGCCATGAGGGAGTGATACGTATAATTTTCTTTGTCCTTGTCTTCGCCGTTGTGTGGATATGGCCAGGTACCGTTGAAGAAGCCAAGAAGATTCGCGCCTTCCATCAGGAGTTCAAATTCGAAGCTCCAAGAGTAGAAGTCCTTCCCGTTGAATGGTGTGGATGTGTGCAATCGTAGGATGTTGTTGAACTGTGCTTGTACTTGCAGGACTTCTTCGGGGTCTCGTTTGATGGCGGGAAGAGGAGTCGCTGGATGACGGGGCGGCATGAACGTGAAGGAACCAGGTGAGACCGAATTTGGTGTTTGTTGATTGTGTCGTCCGAACGATGAGTTGTCAATACTCATTGGTGCCGCTCCGTTGTTTACGCTGTTGCTGTTTGCAGGTTGTGAGGACTGCTGCTGCGACATGAAGTTGAAGAACTCCTCCATTAGGCTTGGGTTGAAGATTGGCGGCGCCACTGGTGCTTGAGTGGAGCGTTCCGTCGCTTCCGGTGTTAATCCGGGCGTTGTTCCTCCTTCGGTCTGCAACTCGGAGACCGGGGGTAGAGTAGATCCCGTAGATGATCTTCTTTCTTTGCCACTTGCCATATCTTGCCTTTCTTGAGTGAAGGTTGAACTTCTTGGTCGTTTGCAGATTGGTAGCCTGAAAGAGGCTTAATGTCGAGAGCCTTTGTTCTCTGACTGCTCTCATACCATGTTGGGCTGAGAATTTCAGCCTTAGGATCTTTGCAGAGAATAGGCTAGTAAGTGCTAGAGTAGCACAGCGGAAGTCTTGAGTGAATGTACTTGTGCTGGTATGTGAGAACAAGTAATTGATTAAAGTAAAGGGCATACAGGAATATATAGAAAAGATAGATTACAAGGAACGGTTATGTTTATCGAGACGCGTAGCGCTTTGACTATCGAGGTGGTTACTGTTCACTGAAGCGTCGCTTGCTGTTACGTAACCTCCAGGCGGTTACAGCTCGCAACCTCTAGTTGCGGTTTGATGTGGTACGCGCCTTTTCGACTTCGTACTCCTTTTGTTGTGCTTCAGTATCGGGTGAGGTTCGATACTACAGAAACGCACTAAGTCATGCGTTTATTTTCCCAACAAGTGCAATATCCTACCCGTGGCGAGATATCCACCCCCCCCCCCCCCCCCCCCCCCTCCCCCCTCCCCCCGATTGGCTGTAAAGTTCTCCGATTCGTTGAGCAATTCGCTAGAAAAGGTATTTTGGCCCTTTTCTATTTCACACTTCAACGGTTACCCCGATCACGCAACAATCTAAAATGCGTGTCTTTGTCGCAGATAGGGTGTATTCGGTATCCCCAGCTGGTGATGTGTACTTTGCTCGCGTGGTAGCACTCTCTGCCCATTCGAAGGTGGGTATATCGGGAAGAAAGTTCCAGGAAACTTCGTCTCGATAACCTCGGGTTCCGAAGACCACAGAATGTATACTCTGTAGAGTCAGACTCCAGAAATGATGAAGTCTGAAGCCTATTACATGGAATCAGGGGCCCCAAAACAATAAGTCTGAGGCACTCAGTGATGAAAAATGGATTACTCTGGAAATACATTTTCCACCAAGTGCAAGGTCTGATTCGTCAGACTAATCAGACTAAATAGTCTGATAGCGTCAGCCCTGGCAGCCAGCACAAATGGCTGTCTCAAGGGAAAAGATTGGAACTTCAAGAAGTTAAATGCGCTTATACACCACCAGGTAGAATGGAGTCCCTGTTTAATAACCTTGGTTTGATGTGGCAATGCTATGAAGAGGATACCACCGCCGAACAATGGCCGCTGTTACCTTGTGGTCAGCCCGGCCAAATGCCTGAAACCAGTCAAGCAAATGAAGCAGCGCAAGAAAAATGGTGTAAATAAGAAAGAAACGATGTTTCTAGAGAGGATGAATCTAGCAGACCCACTTGTCAGCAGCGGCATTGAACCTAGCGCACCTGTGAGAAGCCGTAGATGGTAATTTGCTTCTTTGCCGCATCGTGGTTGATCCGACCGCCACCTACAGCCTCCACCTGCCCATGCAGAGCACAAGATAGGCAGAATGCATGCACGCCTTGCATTGGATCGGAGGCCCCCATTGAGGCTTTCAGACAATGGCGTGCACACTGGTGCACACGGCTTCCAGAAAGCAGCACGCTTGTGAAGGCACAGAGCACTGCGAAGAAACTTGGAACCATGTGAGGGCAGACCTGTCACCTTTGCAGTACAGTTACCACGGGGTTGCCAGGGGTACGACGAGAGACTTGGAAACATGCCTGGGTGAATGAGGACCCAGCATTATCCCAGTCGCAGTACCACATATAGTTGCTTCAGAAACGGTGGCTTGAGGCCACGAGGCGCATGAACTGACTCTAGATGCACCTCAATACCTGAAACTAGCCAAGGCGAACGGCTAAATCCTGCAGTACCCATACGGTTTCTTCGCGTCAACAGCCCTACCTTGAGGCCCAGGGACGCCATGAAGCAACTCTGAGTGTGCCTCGAAACTCAGAGCGATGCTAGGGCGAACGGCTTATGCCTTAACAACCTGAAACACACCTCATTCCTCGAATCGCACTACCTTGAGCCACAGGGGCGCCATGAAGCGTACCTTGAGGCCCAGGGGCGCCATGAAGCGTACCTTGAGGCCCAGGGGCGTCATGAAGCGTGCTGTGTGCTGCAGCACATCGTTGTGGAAAGGCGCCCTCTTGTCCCCCCGCACTATCTGAAGGGAGAGGGTAAAGAGTGGAGTGGGGAGAGGAGGGAATAAGAGGGAGGACAGGAGGAGAGGAAGAGAGGCCATGAAGCGTGCTGTGTGGTGCAGGTCATCGTTGTGCTATCTGCGCGGAGGAGACAGCGGAGAGGGAGGAAGAGATGAGAGGAAGGATGGGAGGCAAGAGGAAGGAGTGGGGGAGAGAAGGGAGAAGGTGGAGAAGATGAGGGAAGGAAGCTTGAAGGGTGGGCAAAAGCGAGTGAGTCAGGAAGAATAGTAGGGAGCAGAGGCGATAGGAGGGGGGGTGAAAGAGTGAGAGGCGGCTTACTCACAAGCTTCACCCTGGCTGGCGCACCGGCTACTGTCCATGTAGGCAGCACCACCATGGGTGCGGCATGGGTATGGCATGGGTACGGCATGGGTACGGCATGGGTACGGCATGGGTACAGCATGGGTACGGCATGCGTGTACCATGGGTCGATTCACACTTCCTCAAATGCACCCCCTTATACCTGGAAACACTCCTCTCTGACTCGCCTTGCAAGAGGCGGCAATGCATTGGTTACCAGCTTGACAGAAATTCAACCACCAGTTTTGAAGAATTGCTAGGCCAGCTTGTTACAAATGGTTACGGGGTTCTAGGATGGTTGAGGACGGCTGAGGACGGTTGAGAATGGTTCAGGATGGTTCAACTTCTTACCAGCTTGGAGCGGCCTTGCTCTGGTGACTTGAGGCGAATGAGAACATACTTGAAGATGCCTGGAGGGATGGCAGAGGGTGATGTGGAAGGGGGTGATGTGGAAGGGAGTGATGTGGAAGGGGGTGTTGTGGAAGGGGGTGTTGTGGAAGGGGGTGTTGTGGAAGGGGTTGATGTGGAAGGGGGTGATGTGGAAGGGGCTGATGTGGAAGGGAGTGATGTGGAAGGGAGTGATGTGGAAGGGGGTGTTGTGGAAGGGGGTGTTGTGGGAGGGGTTGATGTGGAAGGGGGTGATGTGGAAGGGGGTGATGTGGAAGGGAGTGATATGGAAGGGGGTGTTGTGGAAGGGGGTGTTGTGGAAGGGGGTGTTGTGGAAGGGGGTGTTGTGGAAGGGGGTGTTGTGGAAGGGGGTGTTGTGGAAGGGGGTGTTGTGGAAGGGGGTGTTGTGGAAGGGGGTGTTGTGGAAGGGGGTGCTGTGGAAGGGGGTGTTGTGGAAGGGGGTGTTGTGGAAGGGGGTGTTGTGGAAGGGGGTGTTGTGGAAGGGGGTGATGTGGAAGGGGGTGATGTGGAAGGGGGTGATGTGGAAGGGGGTGATGTGGAAGGGGGTGATGTGGAAGGGAGTGATGTGGAAGGGGGTGATGTGGAAGGGAGTGATGTGGAAGGGAGTGATGTGGAAGGGAGTGATGTGGAAGGGGGTGTTGTGGAAGGGGGTGTTGTGGAAGGGGGTGTTGTGGAAGGGGGTGTTGTGGAAGGGGGTGTTGTGGAAAGGGGTGTTGTAGAAGGGGGTGTTGTGGAAGGGGGTGTTGTGGAAGGGGGTGTTGTGGAAGGGGGTGATGTGGAAGGGGGTGTTGTAGAAGGGGGTGTTATGGAAGGGGGTGTTGTGGAAGGGGGTGATGTGGAAGGGGGTGATGTGGAAGGGGGTGATGTGGAAGGGAGTGATGTGGAAGGGGGTGATGTGGAAGGGGGTGTTGTGGAAGGGGGAGATGTGGAAGGGGGTGTTGTGGAAGGGGGTGTTGTGGAAGGGGGTGAGATGGAAGGGGGTGATGTGGAAGGGAGTGTTGTGGAAGGGGGTGTTGTGGAAGGGGGTGTTGTGGAAGGGGGTGTTGTGGAAGGGGGTGTTGTGGAAGGGGGTGTTGTGGAAGGGGGTGTTGTGGAAGGGGGTGTTGTGGAAGGGGGTGTTGTGGAAGGGGGTGTTGTGGAAGGGGGTGTAGTGGAAGGGGGTGTTGTGGAAGGGGGTGTTGTGGAAGGGGGTGTTGTGGAAGGGGGTGTTGTGGAAGGGGGTGATGTGGAAGGGGGTGATGTGGAAGGGGGTGTTGTGGAAGGGGGTGTTGTGTTGACAGAGGGCGAATGTATTGCGGGAGTAAGAGCATGGTGACAGAAGCCATGGGTGCCGTGCTGCAAACAAGGCACCGTGTCGTAATGGCGGTGTGTAATGAACATACTTGAATATGTCTGGAGGCGATTGAGGGGGGTGCTTGGTATGGCCGGGGGTGGTTGGTATGGAAGGGGGTGAAATGGAAGAGGGTGAGATGGAAGGGGGTGAGATGGAAGGGGGTGAGATGGAAGGGGGTGAAATGGAAGAGGGTGAGATGGAAGGGGGTGAGATGGAAGGGGGTGAGACGGAAGGGGGTGGGATGGAAGGGGGTGAGACGGAAGGGGGTGTCGTGGCAGTCATTCACTCTGTTGAATGATGCAGCCATGAAAGCACGGCTGGCTGGCAGAGGGCGAGTGTGGAGTAGGAGCAAGGGCACGATGACAGCAGGCATGGGTGGTGCGGACAAGGGATCTTGGTGGTGTGTGGCACGATGTCCAAGTGTGCAATATCCACGTCACCTGTGCCAATATCCACGTCACCTGTGCCAATATCCACGTCACCTGTGTCAATATCCACGTCACCTGTGTCAATGTCCACGTCAGGCACCCTTTCTCCAGGCCAGTCCCCATCCTCCACACCCTCCTTCCCCTCCACTCCCTCCCCACCCACCCCTCCCCCATCCCCCATGGCCCACCCCGCCAGCAGCGAGTGGGCGATGGCATGGGGGCCAGGGACGGCAACAGCAGAGCGGGGGAGAGGGGGAAAGGCCCACGTGGCGCCAGACGGCTGTGCGGGCGGTGCAGGGGTGGCTGAGGGAGAGATGTGTAGAGGAAGAGAGAAGGGGCGAGAGAAGAGGTTACAAGACTTGAGGGGTAATGGCAAGGAAGGGCAAGGGATTCAAGGAGACACTTTCTAGTTAACAAATTAGAAGGGGATCGAAAGGAGGAAGAGCTGGAGGAGGAATGAGGGAGGTGAGGGGTGAAGAAGAAGGGGAGGTGGGGGTGAAGAAGGGGTGGTGAGGAGTGAAGAAGAAGGGGAGGTGGGGGTGAAGAAGAAGGGGAGGTGGGGGTGAAGAAGAAGGGGTGGTGAGGAGTGAAGAAGAAGGGGAGGTGGGGGTGAAGAAGAAGGGGAGGTGGGGTTAATGGTGGCAAAAGATGCTGTTTAAAAAATGTGGTGGGTGGGTGGTTCCAAGCCGATGTTGGCTCAAGCACAGTGGAAAATGGTGTGGCCCGTGTGATTGAACAAGCAAGCGTCAGGCTGCATCTTGCCAACTCTGCTCTGCTCTGCTCCTTCACGAGAGGCAAAACGTTGCTCCTGCTAGAGCCAGAGACGTTGTGACTCAATCTGACTCTGTGTTTTTGGCGATTTTAAAATAAGGCCTGGTTCGAGATAGATGTTGGGATTGAATTCGTCTCACCAGCAGGCGGCGGCTGCAGCCAGGTGTTGCATGAGGAGTCGCTGAGGAGCGCTCTAATGAAGTCCCGGTGGAACCAGCGTGCATCCTGATGGGGGGGAGGGGAGGGATGACGGAAGGACGGCAGAGGGAGTACGCAGATGAAAAAGGAAGAGGAAAGAGGAAGAGGAAAGAGGAAGAGGAAAGAGGAAGAGGAAAGAGGAAGAGGAAAGAGGAAGAGGAAAGAGGAAGAGGAAAGAGGAAAGAGGAAGAGAAAAGAGGAAGAGGAAAGAGGAAGAGGAAAGAGGAAGAGGAAAGAGGAAGAGGAGAGGAAGAGGAAAGAGGAAAGAGGAAGAGGAAAGAGGAAGAGGAAAGAGGAAGAGGAAAGAGGAAGAGGAAAGAGGAAGAGGAAAGAGGAAGAGGAAAGAGGAAGAGGAAAGAGGAAGAGGAAAGAGGAAGAGGAAAGAGGAAGAGGAAAGAGGAAGAGGAAAGAGGAAGAGGAAAGAGGAAGAGGAAAGAGGACGAGGAAAGAGGAAAGGAAAAGAGGAAGAGGAAAGAGGAAGAGGAAAGAGCAAGAGGGAGTAGGAGGATCAGAGGGCCGGACGGCCAAGCGTGCGCAGTGTGCACGACATGCAGGTGCAGCTGCTGCCACGACATGCAGGTGCAGCGCCCCTTCCCTCCCCTGTGAGCCCATAGTCCGGCTGCGACAGGGCCATGGCAGACAGGCGGGCTAGACAGTTGGAGGGTTGGATGTTGGGCCTCCGTGCCTCACCTCCAGCTCGTTGGTGTCGGTGCGCACCACAGGCAGCTGCTGCCACGGCACCAGGGCCGCGCCCCTCTCCTCCCCTGTCAGCCCGTAGTCCGGCTGTGACAGGGCCATGGCAGGTGGGCCGGAGGGCAGGGCTTGCGCTGTGAAGGCGACCATTAGGGAGGAGGGGAAGGGCCATGGCTGGCTCGCGTGGTATCTGATAAGAAGGGTGGGAGAGAGACGGGAAGTAATAACAAATTTGGAGAGTTTAGTGCTTGCTCTGTAAATGCAACCAGAAGAGAGAAGAGGAAGGGCCATGGCTGGCTGACGTGGAAACCTTCGAACACTTACGACATGCTGCTCTTGGGAACCCCGACATCTGCCAACACATCCACACCCTCACCAACACATCCACACCCTCACCAACACATCCACACCCTCACCAACACATCCACACCCTCACCAACACGGCCCTCCCTGGCCGCCTATGCCCTGAGGCCTCGTCGCTGCTTACGTCCTCCCGTGTGGTAGCATTCGCCACCAGGAGGGGGAATCCGCCCCATTGCCACCAGGAGGGGGAATCCGCCCCATTGCCGTCGGCGAATGTCTGCCCCATCTAAGTGCACACTTTACCTGACGGCCACTACGGCCCGCGACTTTTTCACCCCGTACCAACTCGGCGTGGCGGTCCCGGGGGGTACAGAAGCGGCCATACACATGGTGCGCATTTACCTGGAGGAGAACCCCACTGCAACCGCACCTAAGATGGACACAGCGAACGCCTTCAACGCCATCGAAAGAGCAGCCTGTTTTCCAAGGCATGCGCTCAACCCCACTCGCCCCCCCCCTCCCGTTCGCCCGTCTCACATACGGCTGTGCGTCCACCCTGCAAGTGACGCGGGGTTCAAAGTTCAATGCAGCATGGCCAACCAGCGCAAGGGGAGCTCGCCAGGGCGACCCAATGGGGCCACTGCTCTTGGCGGCCTTTGAGTCGACTCAAAAGAAGGGGAGTTCGCCAGGGCGACCCAATGGGGCCACTGCTCTTGGCGGCCGGCATCCAGCGCTCCCTCATCATCGCCACTGCCGCTGCATTCCCCAGCGCCGTCATCATCACCTACGCGGACGACGTCACCTTCCTCGGTTCCGCGCCCGACTGCACCTCCGCCTTCACCCACCTCATGGCCGACCTTGTACCCAATCGGCCTGGCCCACAACCCTGCGATATGCTCGGCCTGGTCGCCAGGCCCCATGGACGGCGCCGACCTCCCCACCGGGATGTGCTACAACCGCGCTGGGCTGCGGGTCCTCGGCAGCCCCATCAAGACAGCCCACGACTGTGCCACGCAACTGCGGGAAACACTTGACGCGCAAGTGCTCCGCTGCCCCTAGTGGCCCACATGGATCCACAACTCTCCCTCCTCCTACTCGCCCGCTGCATCAGCCGGAGAGCCTCCTTCCTTGCCCGCACCACCCCCCTGCCCACCTGCCCACCTGCCCACCGCTGAATGGTCTGCGTGGGGAGAAAGCTTCCTACACACCTTGCTTGGTGCGGCGCACATCTCCAAGGCGCGGGCAGCAGCGGAGAAAATGCGGATGTGGAACCAGACCAGACCAGACCAGACCAGACCAGCCTCCCCTCCCCACCACTTCAGGCCGCGTGGGACTCACCAATCCAAGCACGGAAGCCTCCTACACATACCTGGCGTCGGCCATGGCAACTGCCCACCTCCTGCGCTCCCTTGGGTCGAAGGTGCATCAGGAGGTGGCCAAACTGGCGCCACTGCTGGACGCTGAGCCTGCAAACCCAGCTGCTCTGTCCCAACGCCTGGCTGACGCGGAGGCCTGCCTACCACCATCTACGCCTACCACCTTCTGCAGCGGCTGTGATGAAGCGAGAAGGGCGCGAGAAGGGCGAAGGGCTGAAACTGCAACACGCCCTGGCCCTCCACGTCCACTCGGCCAAAGCCGTGGAGGGTGTCACCACCAGCCGATCCATGACCCTCAACCCGCTCATGAGGCACACGCAGCACCTCCTCTCACTCCTCGGACCTGGTGCAGGTGATTGGCTAGCAGCTCTGCCCCTGATCAGTGCTCTCCGCCTTGCCCCCGCCCGCTACTCCTCGGCCATCTCCTTCCGCCTAGGCCCCCCCCTCTCCCTATCCCTAGGCAATGTGACTGCTTGAAGGGAGTCAAATCCTGGACAGGCGGCTGCCCAACCCAACCACCTGCCACGCTGTGGGACGGGGAAAGGGAAGACAAGCTCCCACCACGGCCTGTAGAACGAATGTGCTCGAATAGCCAAGGAAGCATCCGGTTCTCCTTTCACGTGGAGGCGGCAATGTACTCGCCGGTTGAGATCCTATTTGCGAGTGTGAGTGTCTCCATCCGCGATCCCAACGCCGGCCAGATATAGCCCTGAGACGTCACTGTCACTGTCACGAACCCTATCTCCCGCTGCCACACACATGCGCGGAAAGGCACGCGGTGGGCTGCCCGGGTAACCGCATCCAAGTATGCCGTCAGGAATGACTGGGTGGGGTTCATCCCTATGGCAGTGGCGACATACGGCTGCACCTCACCGGGCGTGTTTGAATTCCTGAGACGGCGTGCCAACCCCGCCGCCAACCTACCTTCCATTCAATCCCCCCCCTACCTCATCCGAAGCTGCAAAGCTGGTCCATGAGTATCGGCAGCGGTGGAGCATCACCTTGTAGCGAGGCCAGGCCCATGCCCTCAACCAGAAGACCAACACCGCCATGGCGGCGGATGTGGGCGGGCCAGGATAGAGGACGCCATCGCCCCCCTAGACACAGGATACCTGTTTTCAGCTTCTAGAGCCCCCGCTTGGTCCCCTTGAGGACCAGGCGGGTGGCATGTATGCATGCTGATTATTCATACAAAGGACCATTCGAGTCAGGA